TAGTTTAAATGCAAGTAACTGAGTTAATTCACTAATGCACAAAGTTCTGTTTGTGATTTCTGTTTCCGACTGTTCTAAATCATAATGAGTGAAAGTCAGTTTTAAGCCTGTGCTACTGAAATCTGTCATCCTTACAATCAATTAAGTTGTATGCTGAAAGAACAGATATGTTAGAGCTATGAGTGACCAGTCTTGCTGCATAACTCCTAAAAATTTACATGGATTCTATCTTGTGCCTGATGAATAACCATGCAAGCTCTTCAGGACAGCAGTAGGTCTTGTGGGCTAAAGCACTGACAGCTTGTAGGTTCCTTAGGCTGGAGTTTGAAAAAGCAGTTTGGTGGTTAGTTGTATTTGTAACATTCTCTATAAATAGAGGTTTAATGGTGATCAGATACATTAATAGCAGGATTCATAAAGAAATAACACCAGATAAATAAGCAGATACAGTGAACATTCCAAATCATTTTGATGAAAAATAGGAGACACTGCTGATAACACTGCCATGCTCTTGTGTGAATGTTGGAGGGGCTAATCAAGTAGGGCAAAGGTCTGCTGGTGAAATCCTAAGGAATTCTTGGAACAAAGAGTAATTATCCAAAAGAGAAAGCAGGACTACTCCATTGTTATTGCCCCTACCTTTGCCAGGGTCTGCAGACAGGCCATCCATGTAGCATGTGCCACCTTACCTTGAAAGACTCACCAATAATGCACATTAAAAGTGTCAGTATTTAAGATTATGAGGGGAATTTAGGAAGAATGTAAAGGAGTAGATAATTGTTCTAATTTAAGTTCTAAATTAGGTCATCTGAGATGATTGTCAGTATAATGGTACTGTTATAGTAAATTAATGAAGCTCTCTGGAGTATATACCTTGTTTAAGGGAAAGTAGCAAAGGTTTTACCCAAGAGACGTGCACTGAGGGCAAGCACAGTTATGTCAAGATAACCTTATTCCCAGGCAACCTTAAGACCACTAAAGTACCATACTTAATAAATCTTCACCTGAATTCTGTTATTGATTCCTTGTGTTCCTGAACGTAAGAGGACCTCTCTTAGCCTCAGTTTCTGTGACTGCAAAGTAAGTTGTTTACATTTTTTTGTTATGTGTGATTAATTCATTTCTGTGAAGCGTTTTGCACATCGAAAAAAGATGTGGCTGTCTACAGAGAGTAGTGACCATTTTGGCGGTAATACAGAGTGGTATTGCTGCAGAAAAAGACTTTCTGGGTTTGTTTTGTTTTCCCCTACTGTCTTGGTGTTGTGAACATGAACTTTCGTGTGACATTTTATAGAGGGAGACTGCCCTTGAGTCTCATCTCCTTCCCTGTCCCCTTCCAGTACACACAGGCCCCTTGCAGTTGATTAACAGTGCAAAGGCTTAGCAAGGCTGTGGTTCTGACTGGTTGTTGCTTTTTTTTAAGGGGACAGTCTGCATCCACAAAGTTACCTCTGAATGAGAGAGCTGCTGCTCTACAGCTTTATTTACTGGGATCTGAACAGAAGCTCGGCAGTGATCTGTTCTGTTTAAATACTGAAATTGTATTTTTTAGATGATTTAATTTTCCTTATAAGAATAAAGGGCTGGATTTGTTAAAATAATTTTTAAAAATTGGAATCTGTGAGGGTCTGGTGCTCAGATGTGTAACTAGAATATGCTGCTTGCATTTTTTAAAAAGCTGTAATTTTTAACCCAGCCCACTCCACCCCCTTCTACCTGACACTATAGTTTTAGACTTGGAAAAGAATCCTTTATAAGTAATGCTTCCAACTAGTATATTTATTTTGACAATGCTTTGTTGTCAACAGTATCCAAATTACCTTTTCACCATCGTGTTGATTGGCAAATGTCTATTTGCAGACTTGCTAGGGGTAAAAAGTTGATGGAAGTGCCATTGTGTCCTTTCTTTATAGAAGGAACCCATTAACAGTTTATTTTAGTTCTAATCTCACAATTAATAACACTTTCCAGTTTCCTGCTCTATAACCATCTAGCATAAAGTCCATACATAACCACAGTAGCATTTCAACTTGATTCCTTATGCTTAGAATGGGTTAATTCAATGGTGTTCAACATTATCATATAAATTGTTTTAATTCAATAAACAAGGAAAGTAAAAATTTTAAAAATGAGGTCCTGATGGCTTATTGGGAGAGCTGAATAAAACCAGAAAATCTCTGAATGACAGTTTGTAGATCATTCAAATAATTGATTTAGTCCTATGTGCTTCTTAAAAGACTGTTCCTTATTTTCTAGAGTCTTAACCTACACTGATCTAAAATGTTAAGAACAACCCATGTAAATCTTTCCAGAAAGAAATGGATGAGACCTATAATGACGCAAACTTGATTCCATGTGTAGATATACAATTTTAGAAAATGAGTTTTTGACAGAGCAATGGTAGGCTGTAAACTGATTAACAGATCATATGACTAATACAGCTGAGATTGAATAGAACTCGCATGAGAGAACATAAATCTGCTCTATTTAGCAGATCTCCCTGTGTTTGTAAAAGTACAGCTTTTAATTTACTATGGCATTGTCAGAAACTGGGTTTCTGACAAACTGAGTGCTGAACGTGTAGCTGCTTGTAATACTTTCAATTATCTCTGATAAAAAGCATAGGTTAGACAGTAGGTAAAACATGTACATATTATCTGTCTGGCTATGAAATCAAGATTATTCTACAGAGAAGCATTAGGGCTTATTTAAAATTAATGGAAATATTCCAGATTCCAGTGATAACTTCATTATTTCTTGATGTTTTTAGGTTGAGACAGGAAACAAGCCTTGTAGCTTGTTTATTCATTCTTGTTTTGAAGTCATTTGAAGAATGTCCAAGTTATCCAAGTAAAGTTTATGTAAGAAGGCTTTTAAAAATCTATGTCAGTGTGGGCATAGGAGACAGGCAGTCACACTTAAATCCTATTCAATAAATGGTTACAAACATTCAGTGTAAGAGCTGAATGATTAACAAGTGTTTCTACATCTAGAAACGTGCCTTTGACATTGAAAAGTGTCCCAGGATGGTTCCTTTCACGACTAATAACATGTGAAAACCAGGCAGCCTTGGCTGTAGTGAAAGCTCTGCAATATTCAGAGAGATGCCATTTGCACTCCTTGAAAATTGCATGCATCTCATTGAGCATTCCTTTGCTTCCAAACATTGCTTGCTCTTAATTCAGTCTTAGTACTCTGACTTCAGGCATAAGCCTACAAGAAAAAGAAGTGGCAAGAGCTATGCTGATGATACGTTATAATTGTGACTCATGTCCAACAGATATTTCACCTTTTTATAAAATAATAGGTAGCAGCTTCGGAAAGGATGAAGAATGTTGTTTATTCTTGTTCTGCTTTGCTCTTAGTCTGCATTCCAATTTTGTTGTAACTGGAAAAGAAATAAGTCTGTTTACATCCTCTGTTCCAGGATTCCAGAATCCAACCAGGCTTTCAGCAGCTCTCCCTGTGCTTTCTGCAGCACAGTGCATTTTGCTGCTGCAGTGTGAATCAGGGGTTAGTGTTTATTATTGACCACTGCAGGAGTTTAATAGTAAGGTCAGGAAAGACAAACCATGTTATGCAAAGACCAGATTTTGAGGTGTGTGAGTGAACCGTAATTTTTCATACAGTGCCATGCTGTTTGCAGACAAGAAGGACAGTTTGTACTCTTTACTCCTCTGAAGACTCCACAGAGCAATTTTTAACCCTTCATGTACCACACATCTAAATAATATTCTTATTCTGCCAAAGAATTTTTAGCTACTTTAGAAACCAAAATGGTCATTTTAAGAACTTCTTTGTTGCATTTTTCTGAGCTATTTGTCTTGGTTTTTTATTCCACAGCTATGAAACTGGGAGGTGAACGATATGCTGTACAAAAAAGTACATTTACATGTTTAAAATGTATTGACCACATTTCTATAGAATACAAGCTTTTGTTTTATGGAATAGAAGCTTCCAGATACCTCATGAAATCTTTTCTTAGTCTTCTTTTAGATCAAATAGCTTTCCTATTGTAATGGCACCTGTTCCTGTCCTGCGACTTGTAAATCTCATCTGTATATGATTTTGTATAGATTTGATGTTTTCCTTCTGTGACCAGAACAGTGTTAAATTTAGTAACCTGGTTGAGAATGTCCATCAGTTGTCATTATGATTTTCTGTTATTTTCTATGCTTTATTTTTAAGAAAATAAAGAAAAGAAACAAAGAAGATATACCTACTTTTGAGTCCTGGCTTACCAGACCTTGTTAAAGTCTGATATCAAAAGAAAACCTCTATGTCCCTAACCATAGTCTGTGCATAATCCAATGTCAAGATAGAACAGTACTTCATGGATTCAATACTCATTTGTTATATCTGAATCCTACCTTGGTGCAAAAGATAAAGCAAGAGAGAACTTTCTACTTATGTTTTACTAGATAGTAACAACTTGCTTCCCTGTTTGGTTTTTTGATCATTCCTGTATATCACATGGATCTGAATTGAAATGTCATTACTCTGAAAGAAAGCAAAAGCATTAAAATACAAATATTTCTGTTAAAGTCAGAGAATTAAAGTGGAGGAAGAAACCTGTAAATAAGTATAGCTTATACATTTATGTTAAAAATATTCTCCTAGAACTGTTTTCAACTTCAATTATTCATGGAAAAAATCTATTCAGACAATTATGGGGAATAGTCTGTGTTTCCATTGTAACCTAGTTAAAACAACATCAGTATTATTGAATGATAAGTTTGCTTGGCAGCCATTGTAACATCATTCCCTCCTTTTTAGACACGTCAAGAAGTCATGAGCAACAGAGGGAGATTTTGCAAGACATACAAAACCCCTTCAGGATTTTGTTTCCAACAAGCAGATGTGTGATTTTTTTTTTTTCTTGTCAAATTATTCCAGAGCAACAGTAGTTTATATGGATATGGTCCCCACTGATGATGATCCTGTTGGAGATACAAATAGTTGTCTGGATCAAAAATGGTGTTTTGTGGAAACAACTTGAAATAAATTATGCTCCATGGTTTCTGCCCTCTTAAAGAGCCTGATCTCATCTTACATATATAAGATCCGCAAAGGAATGTTTACAAAGAAATCGGGAAATAGTACAAAAAGGAAAGAGAGTTGTCAGAGCAAAAAGGAACAAGACTTTACTCAAATTGGACATACAAAGAATCCAAAATTTTCCAATACTTTAAAAAGCACCGTTAAAAAGATCACCAAGTGTCCATCTGCTCGCAACTTATCAACTGAAGAAGAGGAAAGCAATAGAGAATTTTCCCTTTCACCAACATTCAGTTACAGGGTTGCTATTGCCAACGGACTGCAAAGGCACGTTTTGGTAGCGCACACTAATAATGAAGATATAGTTCAAGATCTGTCTTCAAATGATAGCTCGTGTTCTGACTCTTTGAGTGAAATAAAAGGCAATAGCAAGAGGAACGAATACTCATCACACACAATGCCTGTGAGACGCAACAGGAAAAGCTTGAGCAGCCTCGCGCCTTCCGACGGAAGTTCAGATGGAGAACGCACTTTGCACACCCTGAAACTGGGAGCTTTACGAAAACTAAGGAAATGGAAAAAGAGCCAAGAATGTGTCTCATCGGACTCAGAACTAAGTACATGGAAGAAAACATGGGGATTAAGAAGTAAATCTCTGGACAGAGCTGGGCGTCACCAGAAATCAAATACTCTTGAGCCTGGCTTTAGCTCGACAGGTTGTATTAGTCAAACCCATGATGTTATGGAAATGATCTTTAAAGAGCTTCAGGGAATAAGTCAAATTGAAACAGAACTCTCTGAATTAAGAGGGCATGTTAATGCTCTGAAACAATCAATTGATGAAATTTCCAGTAGTGTAGAAGTTGTACAAAATGAAATTGAACAATTGCGAACTGGATTTGTACAGTCCAGAAGAGAAACTCGGGACATACATGACTACATTAAGCAGATTGGCCATCCAGGAAACAAAGCAAGTCTTAGGTTTTTAAACGTGCCTGAAGAGAGACTTGAAAAAACTGAAAGCATAGTTTACAAAATATTAATAGATAAAATGGGGTTCTCAGAGGCACAAAGCACTATTAAAATTGAGTTTGCCCAAAGACTGGGGCAACAAAGAGACTGTCCAAATGCAAAGCCAAGACCCATTCTTGTTTACTTTGAGTCATCACAACAGAGAGATTTGATTTTAAAAAAGTCTTATAAACTTAAGGGAACTGGCATTGGAATTTCTACAGATATATTTTCCCATGACATAAAAGACAAAAAAGAAAGAGGACTGTCTTCTTCTCAGACATATGAAAGTATGGATATGAAACTTTTAACTGTGGAGACAAAATCTAAAATGCATGACTGGGAGTCACCTGACAGTGATAAAGACTTGGAATCAGATATAAATAAGAACAGTTATGCAAAGATATCTAAATCAGTATATCAAATAAAAACTAGCACTGCAAAGGGGATTATTGAGTCCCCAAACACTAAAGACCTTAATAGAACTGCTGACAATGGCACCTTTTCAAACAGAAGTTATGGCAATCAGTCACCAGAATTTGACAATCTGGAGAAACAATCAAAGGCCTATTATTCAGACATGACTCCTTTGTGGCATTTACAGAATGACTTTGCAACACCAAAGCTTAGCCGTTCAGAGTCAGACTTCTCAAAATTGTGTCAGTCTTACTCTGAGGATTTTTCAGAAAACCAGTATTTTATCAGAACAAATGGCAGTTCACTATTGTCTTCCTCTGATCGAGAACTTTGGCAACGAAGGCAAGATGATTCTACAAACTGGTATGGCAGTTCCCAGGAACAGACTTTTGTCCAAGACATGCAACAGGATCCAGAGCAAAATGAAGTAGAAAACATAGAAACTGTTGATAGTGGAGTAAGCAATGGAATAATCTGTGCATCTGGAGAGAGAAACCACTATAGTGATACTCAGCTTGCTTTACAGGATGACCTTTCCCAATGGAAAGACTGGAATCAGTTGGAACAAGGGGCAGATTTGGGCCTAGACACATCCACACAAGAAGTTTTTGTATATGATATGAGCAGCCCTTCAGATCAACAGACAGATTTTGGAAAGGGCCAAAATTCTGACCTCCAGTATGATACTGAAAGCTATGATTTCACCCTAGATGGTACTTCTCCATCATGTCCAGGCCTTGACAGTGAAACACAAAGTCAGTGGACTGGTCAATATGATGATTATCAGGATACAAATTCTATTTCCTCTTATCAGAATCAAAACAGATTGCCTATGATGTACCGAAGTCAGAGTGAACTGCCTAGCGATGATTCAGAAGAAACGGCCCCTAAATCGTGGCATAGCCGGTTGAGCATAGACCTTTCTGATAAGGCTTTCAGCTTTCCTAAATTTGGATCTACACTTCAGCGTGCTAAATCAGCTTTAGAAGTAGTCTGGAACAAAAGTACTCAGAGTTTAAGTGGATATGAAGACAGTGGATCATCTTTTATGGGGAGGTTTAGAACTTTATCTCAGTCTACTGCAAACGAATCAAGTACAACCCTCGATTCTGATGTTTATGCTGAGCCTTACTGCTACAAAGCAGAGTATGAGGAAGACTTAATTGAACCATCTGGTGAGAATGAAACAGATTATGTAGAAGTCATGGAACAAGTGCTTGCTAAACTAGAAAACAGAACTAATAGTAGTGAAACCAGTGAGCAAGTCCAAGAATATGAACTGGAGCAGTCTTTGTATGAAACTCCATATGCAATGCTACCAGAGGAGCAATATGACACTCAGTTTGACAGTGTGATCAGTGAAGAGATATTAGAAGTTGAAAGTGATGTGGTTCCTGAGGTAGAAATCAGAGAAGATGAAAACCAGAATGTCCCAGAGACAGTTACTGAAATTCCAAAGAAGAAAAGAATACGACCATCATTCAAAGAAGCTGCTTTAAAAGCATACAAGAAACAAATGAATGATTTGGAAGAGAAGATCCTTGCTGGAGGTAATAGTATTTTAATACTTTTTTAAGAAAACATTGTTCTCACTAAAGATGGATGTTAACTTTTGTATAATACCTAATCCTGCTTCCATTGAATTTGGTGGCAAAAATTCTGCTTCTGTCTGATTTTATAAAAATAAATAGTGAAATAGGTGAAATAGTTCTATAGAAGTCAAAAAACTAAAATTTCAAAAGTTTGTTTTGAAGGAGTTTTCTGAATATGTTTAGTCAGATGTGTTTGCAGGTAACTGTATTGCTTTGAATTTCAGTAATTTGAAGATTAAATTTCACAAGATTCAAATCTTAAAAAACTAACTAAATGGTACAGTGTTCTTACACTGTTCTTGGTATTCTTATAGCTTTATAAATGTATTCAAAGGAACAATTCAGAGTGTTCAGATATTACCCTGCTTTCTTTAGCAGTTTTGAAGGCATTGTTGGTTCTATATTCATCCTGGTGAACACTGTTCTCCATCCTCTGGGCAACCCACAACTTGTTACGTACTTACAACAGTGAAAGTCTAAATTGATTTCATGTTTGTCCTTATTTTAATTCTGTCCTTATTTGTACTCCCAGGAAGCACTCAGACAAAAAAACTGGGAGAGAGAAGGGTGCAGAGGAAAGACAAAAGGGTGTCAGTTGTAGCATCCATGTCTGAAGAGTAAAGAACTTAACTCACAAATGTTGACACCGATTTATTCATGATTTTTATTTTGTGTATTATCAGACTTCAAAGAAGACAGCCATATATATAACTTTAATGCCTCTAATAATACATAAATCTGGTGATTTTCAATATTAACATACACTGTAATGTTAATGTAATAATATTGCATGTGCATTTAATTAGGAGCATAATAATTACTGTAGCTGGCCAGATGGTAATTGTCACCTTGACTGAATCTTTGCTTTCTTTATCTGCCTTGGTAAAGTAATTATCCAATACATTCATTCTGAAGATGAAAAATTGTGCCTTTAGCCAAAGATTTTATTTCATAGTAATGAGCATCCAAAGCACGAGCTACTGTAGAGCTTCTTTGGTATGTGAACAACTACATTTACAATAAACATGCAGTCAACTTGAAAGTATGTTACACAAGCATTTCAATATTGCTAATGGTAGTTTGCTTTAAAGTCTACTTCTATATTCAAATAACGACACTAGATTGTGTAATTACGTTTTGCAAGTGTTTTTCTACAGTAGTGTGTTGGATACTAGATAGTTTATATATGAAGAAACAACTATCAATAGTTAGTATTTTCAGTACTTTTTCTTGATTTTTATGAGGCATGGGAGAGGGAATCGCAATCCCTTTACCTAGTTCATGTAAGAATATGAAGGTCTGAGGTCATAACTGAAGAAAGCACATAAGGAATACCTGAAATATTGAAACTCAAATTGGTTTCACTTTTCTTTTTCTTCTGAATTCTGAAGCACTTCTTATATTTACAGAGAATCCATTTGACACCAAGGCCAGGTTATGAAAATGTGTATTGGATGTGGTCTATGGGCAAAGTGTGTCTGTATGGTTATGTCATACTATGACCTCCATTTTTGCTTCCACAAATAAAATAATATAAATTCTTATAAAGGAGAAAGGGAATATAGCAAGTGGCTAAGGAGAATTTACAGATGGACTGGTACAGCACACTACGTCTCAGCTCAAGAGTGTATCTTGAGGTCCTCTAGCATATCTGGCAATACTTATTAACAAAAAAGTCTTTCATGTTTTTATATCTAGTGGATGAATATGATATTTTTACATTTATGTCTGCAGAATATTTAACAATTGTTCAGAATTTAAAACTTTTGAAATATATTTTCTAGCTGGAGCAGCCTACTAAAAGAACGTATTGCCCGAAGAACCGTTGTTCTGCTGAGTGGTATGCAGTGTTATTGGAGCCAAATACTCCCTTATCTTACCTTCAGCTTACTTTCACTGAGCTGGATATCTGGTGTTACAGACAGTCTCTCCACAGAAAATGAAATCCAGTGGAATCTCCACTCTTGGAGACAGTCAAAAGCCATCTGGAGGTGGTCCTGGGCATTCTGCTCTAGATGGCCCCATCTGAGCAGGGTTCTTAGACAAGACCTCCAGAGTTCCCTTCCAGCCTCAGTTGTTCTGTGATAAGGAAATGCAGTTTTGAACACTTTGTATGCAGCCTTTGAAGAAGGATGTGTTCCTAAAGTCAGTTTGTCCACTAATACAAAATATATTCATCTTCTGTTTATTACTTGAATTGCACATTATTTTAGGAAAGAACATTTTATAAATCAGTTCTTAGAAGAGTTCTAAAAAATTCACAAAATGTGCAGCTTGTAACTTCTAAGTTATCACAACCTGCCCCCTCTTCTTTATGTGTGAATTCATGCATGTCCAAATACTTTATCATTTCAGCAAATAGTAGTTTGACTATAGTAGTTTAAGTATTTAAGTAAATTGCAGTTTGAGGTATTTTATCTTCATTTTAATATTTACAGGAGCAATAATAACTTTAGAGAAAAATGACTAATAGCCACTCTAGGGTTTACATGACTTTTATGAATGATTGTGGGGTTTTTTCACTGTGTTACCCTGTAACTGATTCACAGTCAGCTTCCACTTCCTTACTTTTGGATGGAAAAGTACTAGTAAGAAAACAAGTTCTTCAAATTAATCTTCATTATATAACCAAAACATAATCTATTCTTTAACGAATTGTTTCATCCCTTCACATAGGCAGGGGCAGGTAAACAACCTGGCCAAGCAGAGTTATAACCTTATAATACAGCAGTGTTAGTTCTCCAGTTTAATACAAAGGAGGGGTTTAGAGCGATGTGATTTTCATTCTAGTAATGCATAAGGTAAGGTCAATGAAGCTTTGGTACATAAATAATTTATTAGTGCACAAGAACCCCATCAGATAGTTCTATTCTCTGTCTCTAACTGGAGAGAAAAAATACACTGTGGGCTGATTGCTTATGTATTATTTATTACAACATGTTTTTGGAGACATACTGGGGTGACTTAACGTGTTAAATGAATGAGAGGAGACGTCAGTGGTACATGAGTAATCCTCGGATTTAAAGTTCTGTAAGGATATAGAGACACTGTGATGATGGGTGTATATTAATAGAAAGATTGATGGCTTGAAAAATATCAAAGAAATGCTAACCAGTGGTTTGTTTCTTTGTATATTGTAATCAAGAATAGCTTACCCTATTTTTCATTGTTCCAGTCCTCACTTGGTTTTTTCTAGCTTTCTTTTTACCTCGTATCTTCTTTCATTCCATCCCTATCTTATTAACTTTTCCAGGTGCCTTAGAATAAGCATCATTTTCTCTCCTGACAAAACTATCACTCTGGGTAAGATTCCAGAGTTGCATGCACTCTTCTGAGTTGCTTTTAATGGTAACTTAATCTCTTTCTATGAATGGTAGTTTGAGAGCAATATCTTCTTGATCTCATTTAGGAAGATTTTGGTGCTCATTTGATATGTCAGATTTTAGAAATCAGACAGATTTTTAAAAGCTTTTGGTCTGAATTTTCAGCCATGGAGTAACCTGTAGATTGCTTATGGTGTCAGGATGGGTGAACTCATCTTGCTCTATACACACACACAGTGGCAAGTCAGAGGACAGGGCCCAGTGATTGGAATTGCCTCTTTAGCACTGGGTGAAAGTGTTTCTAGAGTTTTATAGGAAGTATTTGTATTACATTTAGTGATGTCTGACTGGAGAATAGAATTTAGAGATCAAATATGAGATCAATACTGTTATCTTGCTAACATCTGAAAACAAAGGAACCAGGAATGTATTACCTTGTCGTCATGTGGTCATTTTGTTCTGTATTAAGAAAAGCTGTCAGGGAAATAAGTAAGCCTATTTCAATGCATATCTCCAACTCTGTTTATTAAACTATGTCTGGATTTTTTTAACAAATGTACATTTTCTTATTTTGACACCTTTTCTGGCTTTTTTTATAACTATTTGCTAGAACTTCCTGAGTCAGCTGTATAGAAGTTAATATAATCTTGTCTTGTGGTATTCAAGACTTTTTATCCTTTATGTCTTACCTCCATCATGTTTGGTTTTAATACAATTGCATAGGTACACAGGTACTAGTAACTGATAGCTAGTAGTAACTAACAGTTAATAGTATTGTACTGGATTTGTCATGTGATTATAAATCTTGGATTTGGACTTGAAAGGATCAGTGCTGTGGCCCAGATGAAAATCAATTTATCTGGTATTATTTAGTAAACAAATCAGTAATTTTATAGCCACTCAGGTGGAAATAGAATAAATAAAACCATTATTTTGGTCATGGAAATTCCGTATTTGTTGGTGGTGACTGTAATGGGGAAATAAAAGGCCTGTTACAAGTTAAATTGCTTTTATATATTAGAGAGTTCTTCTACACTCCATCTGCATTAACTTGTTGGGAAGTGGGCTTTAAGAAAGGACCACTGTTTGTACAAAGAGAAATGGAAAGTAGATATATATCCCATCTTATTTCTTAATTGCTTGAGGTAACTGTGTTGACTGATTAAAACCTTGTGAGTTGTGTTTGCGTTTGTGGGGTTTTTTCTTGAAAAGAAAGTTCCTTGTCAGGATGTTGGTACAGATTGGGAAAGGGAAGGATGTCTAGACAGATAATAGAATTCTAGTTTAGTGTATAAGATACTACAGCACTTAATAAAGATAGAACAAGCATATTTGCTTGTATTGTGTCAAAATGAGCTGCTTATTTCTTCACTGACCAGTAGTAACAGCTACTGCCAGTCAGTCTTGTTCATAAGAGAGTGTGAAAGAGTCATCTTTTCCCCTTTTCAATCAGTCTGCTTTTGTTATAACAAAAGGAACAGTTTGTCATCTTGTGGTAATTCTTTGAAATCTGTAAGACCCTCCTGTTCTCATTACACCTCATTTCTGTGAGCATTTTGTTGTTAAAAAATTGAATGTTAGCTTTAGTTTATACTTAAGCTTTAACATATAATGGTGTTGTGGCGCTATTGAAAG